AGAGTATGCAAACTCGGTCCGACGAACCGTTACGTGTAAACTACATCACAATATCTGATACTCAGTTAATACTTTTTTATTCTTCTGGCGAAAATACCCAGGAAGGTTGATAACGGCGTATTTAACATTTTCCCCCACGAAGAATCATATAATTTTGCAGTCCGGCTACACAAACTGCCCTTTGCGTGCTAGTCATGTGTATTTATACGGCTAAATGTGCACTTTATTTTAACTACAAATTATAAACGTAACAACATTATACAACGTATTCCAAAAAGGCGAAGTCATTCTGGCAAAGTGACGTGTCTGACGTTAAAATGATCGAAAAATCTTTTATGTAAACTATTTTCAGACATTTCACTCACGCGCCGTCATTCTGTTACTGTCCGCGAAAAGAAAAAAAGCTTCATAACACCTTTCAAAACTATGACTGACAATCAAAATATGAATAAAATTTCAATTCTTTGAAAGAAAAATGAATTTGAAATGACTCGGCAATAAAACACACTTATTTTATTTTAATTAATGTGAGAAGAAAACGTCATTTACAAAAACAGTCAATTTAAGTTCACAGCATAAAATTGGAAAGAAAAAAATTGCGCATTTGCTTCCTAACTAATGCAATAAAATGCTTTTTAACCAGAAAACAGTAAAAGAAAGTCGGTCGATCGGATTGGAAAAAAAACTAAAAACAAAATCCCAAGAAGTCTCGGAATAGTAGGCCCTGGTACCCCAGGACCACGTTAAAAGTTAACATTCACATATTTGGATTAATAAAAGGCACAATTATATACTGTAAAAAGTGTTCATGTTTTTGTTCCTGTTGTTCTCTTTGCTGTTACTATGCTCATTTTTCAGATTAAAAGAATTATTTCAAGTGTAAAATGGTTTAACTACGTCTTTACTTTTTTTTTTTAATGCCAAAAATTTGGGTCGGTCGGACGACGCTAAAAGGAGAAGAAAAGAGGATGGCCTTAGCTGTTAGGTAATAAATATGAACTGTCAAAAATCTCTGAAAAACGTAGGAAAGTTGGTAAAAAAAAGACTCCGCATATCTTAGCCGAGTTTAACAATTATCCAGAAATTTTTAGCCTGTCTGGAGCTTTAGATATTTCGAGGTAGTATAATTTTGCCGCTTGAAACAGTTATTTTGCAGAATCAAGTCAATGGGTGCCCCTGTAATGAGATGCAGTCTAACTTCGCTCCATTGCGCGTATCTTCAAGCCACCTGAGACGCTAATGACATACAGCAGGCAGTTGACCAAAAATGGTCATACCAATCGACTGAGGAACTCTCTATTCGTACAAATTGCTCAAATTGTACGAATCGCAGGCTTAATTCTTTGACAAATCGTATTGTTTTACCAATGGCACGATTGCCGTGGGTGTTTTGACGAATCCGTATGTGTATATATTCTTCAGGGCACGTGTGAGACATACCGGACCCACTGATTTCTTGGCTTGGTGAGTTGGCCATTTCCGAGTTCCATTTCCAGAGTTCTGTGTAAAAGAGTTTTTATTTGCATGAGAATTAAAAAGTTATTTTCATATTATTAGCTTCCGGCACTTGGCTTGGCTTTGAAACAGAGGCTTGGAGTAACTCGGAAATGGCCTATTATTTATCAAAATTCCTCACACGATTACCAGAAGAAACAAAGAGCGCAGAGGAGTTACTTGTGACCTTAATTGCCGTCAAATTTTGCAGTTGAAGGTGCAAATCGCCTTACTTTTTTCTGAGAATCGAGGTGTATAAACTTGAACGGTCAAACTCTCACGTGAACTTGTTACAAACCTGGTAAAATTATCTAGAGTTCCGGAAAACTACAAAAGGTAATATCACGTCTAATGAAGAGACTTTTTTCTCTGCACTTTGTGCCCCTCTTCACCGCTCACTGGACGGCTTTAACAATGCAACCAGTCCTTTCAGACGTCTATCTAGGAAGTTTGTCACTCGAGGAGACGGCTGAAATTCAGGCTACACATTGTGAGGTCATTAAGCTGACCTGTTTCAACGATCAATTATTTTTTTGTTTTATTGGGTGTGACCACATTGAGACAACAACTCAAACGCGGTGAATTCTAACACTGAAAAACGGCTTTTGTTTTACTGACAAGTAGATAAGGTTGACGTAAAACTAGAAAGGAAAATACAATTGAGAGATCTTAATTACATGCGACGAGAAATGTACTAAGTAAAAAAACTCGAAAATTACAACAAGCGAAATAATAAACAAAATAAAAGAGGAAACGAAAGAAAGACTAATACCTTGTGAGCCTATTATAAATTTGTCCAGAAAAACCAAAATCCATCGCTGAACTAGCGAGCGAAGTAATCTCTGACCGCCGAGCTAACGATCATGCCACTTAAAAATAACGGCTTGGTTACCTGACCCCAAAAGGGCGCGAAAATTACACTACCGCGCGGTCCTGGGCTGGCTAGTAGCCACATTGGGTTTGACAGGAATTTGTCTCTGATGAGATGCTGTTTTACCTCAGTTTTCTTTTGCTCTGTGTGGGGGACCTGGAGTGGGAAGTTTATGTGATGAACCTGTTTTGGAAAGAATCTGCTCCATTCTTCCAGAGTCGGCAAAAGTACCTGACTCGGTGTATGTTGTGGCCTGCGTAGCAGGTGTCGAAAGGGGTAGGGGATAGGGAGGAAGGGAAAAAGGGAGGGGGATTGGGGAGAGAGGGAAGAGACGGCGCTCCCTTCCTTTTACCCTTTGGCGCTTTTCTCCCTCCCCTTTTTATGCCTACCACGCAGGCTATGTACGCTGAATGTTTGAAATGAATGAATTGATGCTATCTTTGCTTGTAGTGTTTTTTGGGTACTTAATTCTGTTTCGGCTGATTGCCGCATTACAAATGGCGGACATCAAAAATTGTTCAACTTCTATTTCTAAGAAAAAAATGCCTTGTACACAGGTTTTTCTTCTCTTGTCAGGTATTTCGCAAAGCAGAGCCCTCTCCATTAGTGTTGTTACTTTCCAAGAAGATTGCCGATTTACTACACATGTAGGGCATAAGCCAATTAAAGCTAATAAATGTCTTTTTATACTGAGATCGTTAAGGAAGACGGGTTATACTCAGACAGAATTATACCATCTGTTTTAAAATCGTTATACCTGGTTTGACCTATGGACTATCGGTCTACGGTGCTGTTAATGCAGGTCTATATTGAACTATAATTCTTTAATTTGCTCAGATAACTAATCCCATGCTCATAAGCCTTTCTTAAAAATTCTACGAGTTACATCGGTTTCAGCCGTAGCACCACAATAGGGGGATATCACTATATTCACCTAGCGCCAGCACCAGTGGTTACCAAATATCAATTTAATAGTCCTTCGTGATCAAGAAAACCAGGCAAAACATAAAACGAAATATGCAAAATAATGTAGGCTTAGGGACTGGTCAAAAAGTATTGGGGGCGGGGGGGAGGTGGGCCGGAGCAGAGAGGGGGTGGGTCATGAGGTTTTGAGCCTTGTGCAAGGGGTGGGTCGTGCAATTTTTAGCTACCCTTGGGGGGTGGGTCACCCTATTTTATTACACAGCTAGGCACTAACTACTAAAGAGACAGTTGACTAAACTTGTTATATAAAACACAGCCAGCTGGAATTATTGCTAAAATACTCACAAAGATCTGTTGTGCGAGAAGTGAGTACAAAAGGGTGACAGGCCGCACATCTATACGGGCGTGGGACCCTCTGTTAACCTTTTTTTTTGGCTCTTACGAGCATGTCCTTTAATGATTTTCCTTTTTTGTAAGGAAATGATTGGGGGTTCTTTAAAAATTTATTGAGGTTACAGTTGGTTTTGTATAAGATTCCATTTTTTCATTCAAGCTTCCTTTATAGTAGACACTGAGGGCTAGTATTGTGTCACGAATGGCAATATTTCTTTTTCCTCCTTGTTGTTTTGTTTTAGGAGTTTAGACTCCCTTGTGTGAATTTTATTTCTGATAGTATGTTTTTATCAAAGTTTGTGACGCGAGGAGAAATGTGTGTGCAAGAAGGTTTGTCTTTGTTAAAAATGAGTCTTTGCATCAAGGATGGATTTTTTCTTGAATCTTGTGCCTTTGTATACAACCGTGTCTGAAAACGCAGTCTCAGTGTCAAATGTTTCGGCCATGAATTCAATAGTTGGGTGATGTAAGTTTGTTTGTTCCATGAAGGCTTCGATGTCTGGTTTACTCATGTCCCATAGGGCAAAGATATCGTGTATGTAGCATTTCCAAACTGTTGTTCTAAAGACAGTTTTGCTTAGAGTTGTTGTTTTCATATATGTCATGAAAATATTGGCAAAGGAATCAAATCTGCTGTCTTTGTGCCCATTGCAGTTCCATTGTTTTGTAGGTAGTGCTTTCCACTGAAGTGGAAGAAATTTTCTTTGAGGATTGATTAATCTAAGCATTTCCGGCAAGTAATGTGTAGGAATGGGTTGTCTTTGTAGAAATTTTCATATGCTTTGTGACAGACAATTTCAATATACCCTTGTTTTGCTGTATATTTGTGTCAAGACTCATAACGTCCATCGAAACAAGGAATGTTCAGTTTTAATCGCATTTGCCTTTTCAGTGAAAGGTATGATTTCTGTGATTTTGATATTGGTTGTAGCAGTGTATCAACAAATTTTGTCAAGCACAGAACAAGGATTTATTGGATTATTAAGAGAAAACCAAACATCCATGTTTTAACTAGGGGGTGGGTCATGCAATTTCCAACCTTGCTTTAGGGGTGGGTCAGTCATTTTTGAGCCGAAGGGAGGGGGTGGGTCATGTGTTTTTTATCAACCACATTTCCAAATGCTCCGGCCCACCCCCCTCCCCGCCTATACTTTTTGACCAGCTCAATATAAAAAACGCAACAGGTGTATAGTTTGCAAATCAGACGAGGGGAAATGTTTGAAAAGAAATAAATAAAGAACATTTGGTTATATTAAAGATCAGTTTAATAAGGTGGTACAAGTTTTATACTGTAACATACAGGTCTCAATATTGAATTGACAAATTAAAATGTATTTCTTTTTTCATTGCCTGGTTTATAAAAAAATATTATCCTGGCTTAATCAGTGTTATATTAAGTGACTGTACCGTTTGAAGCTGAATACAATGCTTCAGTTTTTAGGTTGTTTCGTAAAATGTTTCTACTTCGTCTGGAGTAAACTTATAAGTGCCTGCCAGAAATGTCTGGGTGAAGGTGCTTCCATAGCTGTACCCACTTGGTGCGCTGTAAGTATAGCCAAGGCTGGCATAGTTATTGCCACTGGATGACGCGTAGTCGTAAATGGCAATATCCCAGCCTCCTCCGAAAGAAGGTCCATAAGACGAGCAGTCGGGTATTGACTCGCTGTTGTAATAACTATACTTCCCTGTCTGAGGCAGTTTCACAGGTGCCCATCCTGGCTTGTTCACCAGCGAGAAAAGGAATGCCTGGGAATCATAAAAATACCGGCAGCCACTGTAACCTGTTGGGAAAATAAGAAATGAAAAAGATGACCAATGCACAGATTTCATTCAAAAATTCGAATTCATACACGCAAGAAAATATACTGATAACTAATAATAATAGTTTAAGTTCCTTGGCAAAGATCGATGAAAAGTGTGATTTTAGTACTAATTTTATTCTTACTTAAGTACTTTAGTATTTACTTTTGGAAGGAAGAAACTGCTTCTTATTTAAAAAGCTTAGACGAAAAAAAATATTGCAGTATATCGATGTAAGTGAGATAGTTCAGTTTGTGAAAGCGGCCATCATGGTCATTAGTGTACACTTAAAGATATCACCCTTCTTTGTGGTCAGTCACGTTTTGAGTGCTAAGGTGTCCTCTGAATAGTGGTTAAACCCAGGTTTCAGGACCAAGAAAACCTGTCCCTTTCCCTTAAATAGAGGTGTCCCTTCAATATAGGTAACAGATATAAAGATCATGTGGACGTCTTTCCCGGACCAAATTTTGTGTCCCCTGTATGGGGTTGTCACTCAAGGGGTTTCTATACAGTTTTATCGGAGATTATACCGATATTTTTCAATCGCCTTAAAAGTCGTTTTATCCTTGCCGATGGCTATGAAATTTTCAACACTTACTGACTTTGGGCTTTTTAAGTAAATTCGATATCAATAGACTATTTTCTTGACTATTTTCAGCGATTTAGGCCTGCTACTCAAAATCCGACACCAGGAACTTGTGGTGTTTAGCAAATAACCTCCGTAAGAAATAAAAAATTTTGTATATTTGATTTCAAATAAAACGTAAATGTATTACAAACCTTATATTTTCAATAGTTGGGATAAATTGTTTAATAAAAAAAGTTGTAAATAATATAAATTTGTCTTAAGTAGCATCAGAATGCTGTTTAATATCATATTTTGCTGCTTGGAAATTTTGGTGTATTTTCTTTCTTGCCATCCTGAAAACTAACCAGTTATCTCACCACCTGTTTAAGTGCAACTTTCTTCTAAATTTTGACTTTTAGCGCTTTTCTGAACGGCTCGACAGAATTCTTTTTAAACCTCATCAAATAATCTTCACAAAGCTTACAATAATGTCTGAAACTTTCATTGAGATTGATTCACTCCAACACCTTGAAATTTCAAGATAAACCGTACAAGCCGGCCAAAAATTCAGCTTATAACATTTAGGCCCCGTCCACACGTATCCGGAGATTTTTGTATAAGCAAATTTTTTTATGCGGATACACCTAGCGTCCACACGTGTCCGCCGTATACGCTCGGTGTATCGGGAGATTTCTGTATACGCTCTCCAGAGTGGAAATTTCTGTATACGCTGTGTATCCGGATACGTGTGAACGCTCGCATCCGTATATTTTTGTATACGCTGACGTCACAGTATCAGAACCAGTCTTTTTCCGTGCGAGATTTTCCAAAATGGCGGCGAGCAGAAACGTTGTGTGTTCAATGCTACTAGGACTACTTTCAAGCCTAATAGCGTGTCTCGAACTAAATGTTGCAATGTTAAATCTAAACTTTAACTACATGAGAAGACGTCTAAGCATTATGCGGCTTCTAGCCATATCTGATTCAGGAATCAGACGCCAAAGACTTCTCAAAAGAGCGGGAAGACACCTAGCTGGTTTTTTTCTGTTTTTCTCTTAATTGAGCCATTTTTTATGGTGTTTTTTAACAGGAATTTTTTTCGCTCTTCAAGCTCACACGTGTTGAAACCTCAAGTAAACAAACAAGAAAGAAAGAAAGAAACAAAGAAACAAAGAAAGAAAGAAAGAAAGCCGCGAATTTGGCGCCAAAATTGTCGCAGGCTCAGCTTTCTTTGTAATGCGCATGCTCTGTTGACTAATCCTTTGAGATGTCCGGATACGAATCGGATTCGTGTGGACGGTCGTATACAATTCGTATACGCTACGTGTGGACGCAGATATTTTTGTATTCGCATAAAAAAAATTGCGGATACAAAAATCTCCGGATACGTGAGGACGGGGCCTTACTCTTTTGACGTTATGCTAATTTTCCCAAACTAATGCGGACCATACATACCTCCATGAATAGCATGAATAGTATATAGATTTAGCCAGGGTCAAAAGCGTAGCTTTCGATAATATTTATAGTTTGAAGGGGCGGATCCAGGATTTTTTTTAAGGAGGGGGTGCACTCGTCTCTTGCTCTACTTCGACAGCAATAAACCACATAGTTTTTTTTTTGCAGAATACCAGCTGTATAAGAAAACCGCAGGTCTGCGCACCCCCTGCACCCTCCCTTAGATCCACCCCTGGTTTGTTCAAACAAAATATAAAATCGTGTAGTGCCGGCTAAGCGAGAAGGCAACGCCGGAGAACGGTGAAAAATAGCAATCGGTCTAATTAGCAAAAATAGCAATTTTGCAAGTACAGCACGCTTTTTTGTACATTCTTTACTGTTGTTTTGCACCACTACAACGTGAAACTTCCAGAAACTTCTTGGTTACACGTTTTATGGAGGAAATGTCGTACGTGTTCTCGTTCAACTTTTTTTTCCCTGCCCGCTCATTTTCACCTTGCATTGGTGGCCACTGGCATTTCCCATTTTGTCACCGTCGCTACAAAGTTTTCATGTTGCTCTTCCAACAAAAAAAATATGTCTTCTGTGTTTTTTATCTCTCGCTCGAGACCTCTGTCGCCCTTTTTCTCGTTGAGCTTCGCTGGCCTGCCGCCTACTTTCTCTTTTTCTCTGTCTTTCTCCTGCTCTATATTCCAAATTTGTTGCAACAAGAGAAAAAAAAAAAACTTGTGTATTACGTTGTGATGGAAAAAAAAAAAGGATAATAAGAGAAATGCCGGGGATTTTAAAAAAACTGAGCTTAAAAAAATTCCGTTCCCCTCCTTGATTGATCGTTGTCCGTCAAGGCCGTCAACGATGACAGCTACCGCAACGAGTCGGAACGTAAATTATTTACCATGACGTTGCACGACTACGACGTGAAACGTCCTAATTTCACGTTCTATGGAGTACCTGAACGTAAGACAACGATTTTTATTTCTTTTTCTAAACTTTGACAGGGACCTTTGGAATTTAACCCCGAAAAAAGAACTTTGCCAGCATTTGGCAGATTGAACGAGATGGAATAAGGGCGATACTAGGAATAAAGTTTGAAACGCAGCCTGAATGCAATTTTTAAGGGCCTGTGGGGTGGGGCGGGGGGGGTTGGGCAGGTTGGTATGGTAATGGCCCACTTAGCTGGGGTGACCCTCCTGTCCATATAATCTGTCATTTTAATTCAATCACGTTTACATGATAGGTGAAGTGACCCTTCAAGCCGGCGGTCGGATTCGTGATACATCAAATTCGCGCAAAATTCACTTTGGCGGTGGTTTTGCATCATAAAGGTAACAATAGAAAGCCACAGCACTGAAGGATGTAGTAAGTGCAGCAAGTGAGAGTAGTAGTGCACTAATCGCTAAAACACGTGGTTTGCCAGCATTTTTCTTATTAACATGCTTACTGACCATTCAATATTCTTGAGAAAGTGCACCCCGGGATAGTGGGGTTATAAGGTTAATTGTACGTAAACGATGGTTATTTTTTTTATCCCACCTGCATTGTAGGCGGGTTACCTCACCTACCTAGGGTCTCCCACCTCCACGTAAACAGGCCCTAAGTGATATTTTCACTGGCCTCCCCGTCGTGGTTGCTTAAGCTCCTAATAATTCACAAATGTCTGATGGTAAGCGGTAACGAAAGTGATTGCAAAAAAAGAAGTAATAAAAAAAAAATTGCCATTACAAATTCTTCCTTACACAATTTTACATGCTATCACGCTCAGGTTTAGAAAATCTTTCCACTTACCCCAAGACCTGCTGGCATACCCTCCAAATATGTACTTTCCCCCGACTCTTATTATTGTGACAGTTGGTCCTTTGTAGTCGCATCGGCTGTGAAAAGTACTGGCAGCCCAGCCGTCCACGGACGCGCGCCAACAGCGCCTCCATTGTGAAGATTTGCTCGAGACTGGTTTGAGCAAAGTGCTCAAATATGTTAAGTAGCTAACATCATTTCCCACAATAGCAGAGCCTGCCAATCCTCCTACGAGATATACACAAAAAAATAAGCAATAGTACGGAGTGATGTAGAGAGCCATTTAATTTAGCCGGATTTAGGAAACAGCCTAAGACCGGAAGTTGCTTTTATCCGCGAGGCCTAAAAAAAAAAAAACGGCTTAAGAGAAAAGGACACTTTAAAATTTTATTTTGTTGCGTTGTTCTCAAAATCGTTAATAACAATCGTTAATACATGTTTTTCAGAACTACAACAGTACCAAGTTAACTTGAGTCTACTTCAAAGAATACTATTTTGAACTCCTAAATGTGTTAAAAACGTCAATTCAATATTAATTAATAATTTATCCACTTAGATTGCGCAAGTATCCATAACAATGATTAAATGCGCCTCACACTAACAGGTAATAAAAACATTAAAAATCTATTTACAATATACGAAAACACATAATGACATGATAATAACAAAATATGACAGAAATATATCTAACCTAGTTTTTTGAAAACCAACCAAACGAAATTTGTAGTCATTTGAGTGAAAAGGTGTCAAAAGGCAGGTTTCTTAAGTCCGAGATGTTTCAAAATTACAGAAACGAAGGAAATCGAAAGGAGAAAAAGAAACAGCGAGGAGAAGGAAAGGAGGAGAAGAGAAAAAAAGCAATGGCTGCGCTCGTAGTTTTTATAATAGCTACTCTGGAGATAGTTTTTGGCGGAGAAAATTAAACTGTTGGGCGCAAAAGGTCCATTCGGCGATAACGTTTTCAGAAATCCGGCTAGATACACACTACTACACTAAAAAATCTAAAATGTTGATATGTAATTGGTAAAAATTCAGTTCACAGTAAGCAGATCTTAAAGAGTGGGTCTTATAAAGCATTCGATAACTTGGGCGCAGCCACCTACGGCTGAACCTTACTTCTTATTGTTGCATGGCGACGCTAGCAAAACATCCAACCAGACAATCTGAAGTTATATCTGCTTTGCGATTTCAAAGAAACTAGATTCTGAATGTATGTAGGGGCTATATGCAATAAATTGCCTTGCGAGGATGAAGTTGACGAAGAAAAGTAGCACTTAAAAGTAAAGCAATGTTGAGTCAGTTGCAGAAAATAGACTGTCTTGTTTTCTTACAGTCGGAACGAGTTTGAATTAAGCTAACTCAGTCTGTCATGTCCAATTGAAGTTTAAAATTCGAATTTGTTAGTCGTGGTGAATTTGCATTAGTTTTTTTGCAAGGAATGTCTTGTTGTTTTAGTAATTTTGTTTCGAGATATTTTGATCACTTTGAAAATGGGACCCTGTAAAATTGTATACAGGTGTCCAGTTTTTTGTACTTTAAGTTAGTGCCTCATTTTTTGAGGCTTTATCCACTGAAAAACAATGAAACTTAACATTTTTATTAACATTTTTCTTATCAGTCCGGGAGATGTCCATTTCTGGATATATGATGACGTCACTGATAATTCCATGTTGGACCTTCAAAGAAAAATCAGTATTTGCAACGCTTTTGCGCCGCCATTATTTTGTTTCCTTTCAAGTCCCATGAGACCACGCGTTATTTGTAAAGGACCATCAGAGGAACATGTGAAACAAAGAAAGATGGCGTGCGTCTATGCAACGCAGAGAAAGATCTGCCGAACGTGATGTAAACAGTTGTGATTTTCATGCATTCTGAGTGGAGTGATCTTTGAATTCTTGCAAATTTCAGGTGTGAAATAATTTTTTCTGGTTTGAAAAAATTACTCCTAGATACTATAGTAAATTTGCTTGTTGTTTATTCAAACAAACATATGCAAGGCCTTTGAAAATCTGTGACGTGTGTAATTTTCGGGGCCATTACTGGTTCAATGTGTGAGCGTTTCGTGGATGGTATTCTAAACTGATCCTTGGTTTCGTTTAATTTGGAATTGTTAATAATAATAATAATAATAATAATAATAATAATAATAATAATAATAAATATTTATATAGCGCTTATACTTTTCAGTGCTAAGCGCTTTACAATGCTTCAAAACGGTCTGGATAAAAAATAAAAATCCTAAAATCATTTACATATATATACATAGTCACAAAAATACAAAATAAAAAACCTAAGATGGTTCGTAAACTCGCTTAAAAAGAAAGGTCTTCAATTTAGATTTAAACTTATTTACATCATCCGTAGGTCTTTAAGTTATAGGGTTTAATAACAAGACGCCACTTGTCTGAAGATGAGCGAAAGTACCTCGCAGGGTCATAAACAGGGATTAGGTCAACCAAATAATCAGGAGCTAAATTGATGAGTATCTTAAAACAAATAAGAGTAATCTTAAAGGTTATTCTTTGCTCCACTGGTAGCCAGTGCAACTCCTTTAGAGTATCACTTAGGTGATCAAACTTACGTAAGCAGGTAATCACGCGCGCTGCAGCGTTTTGGACACTTTGCAGTTTGTTAATTTTTATACTTGGGAAGACCATGTAAAAGCGAGTTGCAGAAATCCAGCTTCGAATTTATGAATGCGTGCACAAGAACTTCAGCCGTTGTGACATTGATATACTTACGAATCTTAGCTATATTTCTAAGGTGGTAGGATGCCACTTTAACTATGTTGTTAATATGAAAAGACATCGTTACGGTGTTATCGAAAATGACGCCGATATTACGCGCCTTATTTGTTCGTGAATTGTTCGTGTTGCAAGGCGTTGCATATTTTTATTAGTTCTTAAATCCAAAATCCGTAGATTAAGCTGTGGAGGATCCCAAACTTTAACTGAGCGAATCAGTCTTATCTTTGCTGTTGTTTGTGTGACATTTACAGGTCATTTCCTTTGCTCTTTGTCATAGTCCATTTTCGAGTTCGGTATGACCGCTGAAGCAAAGAAGTGACGACGCATTTTTTACAGCCTTAGCCTCCATCTGAAGTAATATGTTCACAAATTCCAACGAGAAAAAGGCCTGTTTATTACTCTGCCTATTGTGTATATTCAAATTCCAAACACTTACTTGCCAGAATTTCTGAATATTTTACTTTACGTCGAGGCTAACCCTGTATGAATGTGTCGTTAATGTTTGTATTCAGCGGTAATTTTTAATTCGAAACTGGACTATTGTCTGTGAATGTGATGATTTCCTGCACTGCTGGGTGCACAGGTAACCCAGGCTCTGTGATAGTACCACAGTACGGTTCCAGTAAAATTACAGTCTTTTTATGGGGTAAAAATACGATCCTAAAATTTCTAGGAAATACTAAATAAAGATCAATAAAACTTACTCTGCGGTTAGTCATTGCTGTCCTTAATACTCCAACGAAGTTTCGTGATAATTTGTTCAAATTCACTCTATATACAATAATAATGTACAAGGTAGGATACACTAGACGCCATTTTCGCCGCCATACTCCCTTTCAACACAACTTTTTCCACGAAATTCGAACTCCAACGGAAAATAAACATGCCAGGATCGTAGAAATAGGATAGCAGCCGATACAGAAACCAGTGAAGCTTTCCCAGATAGAGAAACGGATCCCACAGACTTTGACAAATTCGAAGGATATAATGCAAAAAGACCGAGAACACGCTTGCCGAAGTAGCGTCGCCAGATCAACGAGCGGCCAAGAAAATGAGGCCTGTGCACTGTACAAAAAAAATCCATCCTGGGAGACCTGAGGTGACCTTTCTGGGGACCGATAAATCATTTGCCCAAAGCCACCCTCTCTAGCTAAAAATCCAGCTAAACTCTGAAACTATCATATGTCGAGATCCTGATCCTGGTAATTTTTCGATTTGTGAAATTTACTGAAAATATAAGACTGCAGGTCATTTAGTGTTTTGAAAACCTTGACCAGCGGTCGACCTGAAAAAAGTTCAAGTGTCACAAAACATGGTTTCGTTTTCTGAGTCCAGCGTAAACCAAACACTAAACTTGACATTTATGAAGCATTTCAGGATCGCTTGACTTTTTTTAATCGATTAAAATAGTTTAGATTAGCTGGTTTTTTCGATTTGTGAAATTTACTGAGAACATATAGGACCGCCGGTCATTTAGTGTTTTGAAAACCTTGACCATAGCGAATTTTCTTTTTCCGGCCAGTCTCACGTTGAGAGGTCATGAAGCTGACCTGTTTCAGGCATATTGATTTCAAAATTATTTCTTGTCATTTATCTATGATTTTGTTTCTTACAGGATGTATCTCTGATGCGATGTAGTTTAAGCATTTTCTTTGGCTTCGGTTCGAGGATCAGGACGTTTATATGATGAGTTTGTACTGTGAAGAATTCGCTCCACTCTTCCAGATTGCAAGAGTGTTTGCTGAATAAATTATTTTATTTATGCTATCTTTCCGTGCAGTGATTTCGTACTACTTAATTTCGTTTTGGCCGATAGCCGAATTACAAGTGGCGGCAATAAAAAATGTTCCACTTCTACTCATCTCCAGTAGCTCTCGGCCAGATTAACTTTGTTTCAGGTTTTGATCTCAACCAATGACAACGCACGATACTTATATCCTGAAATGGATATCTCCAGGTCTGCTTATGGTTTCATGTATGCTTTCAGTTTCGGTGTCTTTTCAGTCTTTTGCAGCAGGGATTTGGCAATCACACCCTCTGCAACACCACGCCCGGAACATGTAAATTATGAGGAAAAAACACCGACAGAAGGCGGGGAGTTGGTCCAAAATTGTTCCACCATTCCAACAGGGCATGCAGCTGAATAAGATGCCAAAGAACAGCATATAATACAAATTGAGGATTTAGTTATTCCTAATATTATTTTATTACCATCACTATCATTAACTTTGCCGTATAAATTTACCGTAGCAGGGCATACTAGAACTCGAAAGCTGGTCCGAATGACTGATCATTTTTGTTGTAAACTTGCACCAAAATTTGAATCACTGTACAAGAGTCTGAGATTGCTCCCTCAGATTACCCTTACTTGTTTTTCTTGCATCTTTTCTAAGTTAACAGGTTGTTCCTAAACAGAGCTGAAATAGCTGAAATCATTGAGTAATTTCATACCAAACTTGTAATGTCCCCTTGACGATCAAAAACCATCCCAAAATAATATAAACAACGCTTATCGAGAGATTACAAATAAAGGCAAAGGTATCAAAATAAGATAACTCAGGGTTAGTGCGAAATTTGAATTCAGAAATAAAAGCTTAGAGAGTAATTTCAGTTTTATTCTTTTTGTAAACAAGTTGATGATTGGATGCTCTTAAAAATAACAGAGAAAATTATCCGAGAAATTAAAATGCTTTTGAACAAAAGAAATAGAAACCCGGGTTAAATTTAACCCTGGGTTAAGCGCTAATCGGCCTTCGAACAACTAGGCCCAGATACCTGGTACCTCTAAGTCAAGGGAGCGAGTTGCTCGAACTCCCCTTCATTTGTCATATAAAGTCAGCTTGTAACAGAAGGCATGCAAACTTAAAACTGGTTTCTTATATTACAGATTAATAGTTAAAAATTTTACAAAAAATTTCCTGTCCTTGTTTTCAAACCCTTTTCCCCGTGGTTGAAAATGATACAAAATTGCCCTTCTCGTGATCTTTAAACTTCGGCATTGTAAAATTAATTCTTTGCATAAGATCACTTACTTGCATAATAAGAGCACTCAAAGCCATCCCCCATAAAACCTTGTTGAAGGTCACAAGTGCAATTGAAGGAACCACGATTATTCGAACAGGTGGCAAAACGATGGCAATAATACTTGTCCCTGCTGCACTCATTCAGATCTGTAATGTACGAAAGATACCATGTTTAGTTACTGCAATTACAGCAGCTATCAATTCTTTAATTACCGTATTTATTCGATTAAACGCCGCCCTCGAATAAACGCTACGTCATGATGCGGTGTTTATTCCAATAATAGACTCAAAAAGTAAATACATGCAGTAATAATCATGTTTGAGCAAGCCTGAAAAAATTCTTTTCTTTGATTTTAACAATGCTTTAAGATCAGTACATTCGAAGCTCAAAGGAATATAATTAACTTCATTTACTTTACGTATTCCAGTAGTATATTAACATGCAAATTGTGAAATTGAGAAAGATATAGATAATGACTTTAGTCAGACAAGCACTAAAACATGTTTCTGTTTTTAAAGTTTAAATGCTCAGTTACCATACTATTGTTTGCAAGAAATAAATGGATATTAAATTAACGCCGCACTCGAATAACGAAAAATTTAACAAACGCCCCGGCGTTTAATCTAATAAATATAAGAATTTTGAATTATAATTAGAAATTGTTCATAAGCTTGTCATTTACTCATTTGTTTCAGTTGGCGTTCAATTTCATCTGCGGTTTAAATTTCTTTTCTTTTCTTTTGGGGTATGTTATTCAGGTATGATAATGAGTTTGAAAAAAGGGAAATAAAATTTAAACCAAGGACAAAATTGAACTACAGCGGGTCATATTCCGCGGTGTAAAAACCTGTGAACCTCACCAATGACGTAAAACAATTAATACAAAGAAGCCACTGCTAAGTCAACATAATAGAGCCAAGGGAAATAATTGCTTAAACAAGCATCCTCGCGAAGATGCGAGGCTGAGAGGCGCAAGCCTAATAGGGCCGTGCGAGATACTGTTCCAGGGGCAGAAAAAAAACTCGAATCGATGTAACATGTAGTAATGTAAGGCAACATTTACGACGTAATGCAGAACAGAGAATGCATTGTTTTCGAGGGAACACGTGATAGTACAGAACAGAGAATCCACGAGTCGTGTGAGTGCTTGTGCGTCCTGTGTGCATCCTTCGTGTTCATTCAACCAAGTATAGTGCAATGTACACATACATTAAATTTTCTAAAACAGGCTGCAATATTAAAAATATTGTAGGCTGTTTTATTTAGCGCGTTTAGTATATATTCCCCCTGATAATTTCCCTACTGACAAAAGGACCGCTCCCATTTTCCACAGACAGTTGTTTTGGCATCTTTAAGACTGCAATCGTTGATTTGATGAAGAGAGAGAACAATAGAATTTTATGAGGATCAGTAATTATTATAGTGATAGGACTGTACTCATGCGTGAGGTACTCGCCTGGCAGTAGGATGGTATATGAGTGCCCCTTGCTTTAAGGTCGCACCCGTCTCAAGGTAATTTTCGCTTATGCGATCGAATTAAGTTCAATCTATTTTTTATAAATTACTGTAATTCATGACATTTCTAAAAACACTGAACAGTGCGCGCGTATTGCTGGTTTTAAGTGTCACGCCATTCAAAATAGATCAAAATAAAAATCAAAACCGTTCAATAGATAAAGTCCAGATCTGCGAAATGAAAGGACGTACATATACAGAGACCCTCGCCAAGATTCAGGTCAGAGGAATATTTCGTATACGAGCTCGAGATATCCGAAGAAATGTTTTACCCAAACTTATAGAGACTTAAATAGTATAGAGACGCCTTGCTGGTGTCCACCTGGATGAGCTCCAACATGGCGGACGGAAACCAACCCCGGGGGGGTACTGCCATATATGGGCTATATGGGTATGTGCCGCTGTGAAGAGTATGGTTTTCAAGCAGTTTACTCTAGGATAGGGTATATAAATCAGAGCGTTTGGGTCTAGAATAGGGTATCATTTTTCACGAAACTGATCAGTTGGTTGAAGATTTTATCTAGACTAGGTAAACAGCTACTCTAGGATAGGGGGATTTTGGGAGTTTACTCTAGTATAGGGTAGCAAAATTCAGCTAACCTAGCTCTGGTATAGGTCAAGGGTTCCACGGTCCCAGCGGCACATCCCCACCCCGGGAAACCAACAGAAACATCTGTTACCGAGTTTTGCTACGGAAGCGCGAATTTTTTCTTCGAGAAACTCATTCATTAAAGTAATACTTTTTCTAATACATGAACTGTTTAGATAGCAAAATTTCCTGAGATAAGTCATTTTTTTAACCTACATGACAGCTCTCTTGGCCGTCATGTAAATGCCGCGTCACGCAAAAGCTTAGAAATTCAAGCGTACTCTATCACAAAATCAAGAACCCTTTTGAAGCGAAAATTTGTATGAAAATTAGTTTTCAGCTGCTCTAATTCATCGTGAAAGCAAAATCACGGTAGGATCGATAGTTTTTTAGTTTCAATTTTAGTGATGTCATGTGAAAACCAACAATAAGTAAAAGCTTTGCTCGTTGGCACTTAGCGATAGCTATAACTAGTAGCTACAATATAGAAAACAAAGAAAAACTTCACAGGTTTTAACACTAAGGATGACCCACCGCAACATATCCATCAGTTCTCTCATTGCATCACTTAATTATTTTTTTTCAACTCTTTTGTTTGCCTCTGTTTAACGACATGATATCATTTAATCATGTAATTTTTCAGAGATAATAATCTCTTTTTATGACCATAACCTTACACGTAAGCATACATTAAAAACTATACCTTTCTTGCAAGTATACTGATGACAGCCACTGCATTTCACGTCATTCCATTCGTATTTGTATTCAACACCAAGTGTATGCACACAGTCTTCATCTCGAAAATTGTTGGGTTGGTTTTTGGCCCAAGCTGTAAAGTTCCCAGTACCACGATCTGCCCAAGTAAAGGAGCCCTCTGTGAAAATATCATTCAATCCCAGCCAGGATTTTGCTCCATTGTGAAGATGCTGTAAAAACACATTTTCTTCATTGTTTTGGACATCAACAAGAACTGAGTTTTCTTGTCGGCATTTATCCAGTGATGTGGTCCAATTTTGACAAGTCTTACTTGTGAAATAGCAAAAGCCGTTGAAATAGTTCCAGCCAGGATCACAAATATCTAACAAAATGTAAAAAGAAGAAAAGATTTAGATTGCTGATATCAGTATAAATTATTATATAATAAATATGATTATGGTCGGATTGATAGATATTGTTTATCCCTAGCGGCGCTTTTGTAGGAGTATTGTTGCAAGGGTGATAAGAAAAGATAATTAAAAATAATTAACGTTTTTTTCGGGGCAACGAGTAGACCATCATCATTATTTTTATCTTGAGGAGAGTAGGAGTGGTGTCACAATGATGAAAGAGGGATCACTTTTTCAAATTAGAGTAAAAATTCTGAAGCAACACTAACTTTTAACGTTTGTTCGGTGCATGATGGTTTTCATTTCGGCAACTGAGGTCTTCTGTCATTATGAGTTATTAGGGACCTTAAGATCCGGCAACGGCGACGACAATGAGAACGGCCAAAAAGCAATAGCTTTAATTATAGTAAAACAACAACTATGCACGTGCCATCACGCTTTTTTCTACATTTCTTAGCCGTCGTTGCACGACTACAACAACGTGAAAATGCCTAGTTTCATGTTTTTTAGAAGACGTAAACAAGCAACGACGAAATTTTCCTTCTCTTTCTCGGCTTAACTGTTATAAGGCTCTTAGGAATTCAACTTCAGGAGGAGTAGCGTACTTTCGACAAAGTAAGCGAGATGGAAAAATCGCGATGAAGATTGAAAACTCCGAATTCACTTTTTAAGCGACGTTTTACCTGCCGTCGCCGTCCTCACATCTTAAGGTCCCTAATTTCTTTGAGACAAGGACTTCAAAATGCTACCCTGCGACTAGACTGCAAAACAGTCCGTATTTTTGCGTATTCAAGTAAGCGCGAGCAGTCAAACAAAAGGTGTGGAACGAGGCTGAAAACAGAGAGCGAGACTGGTTTTTTCTCTCTCGCCTCACACGCCCTACGGGCGTGTGAGGCTCGCGCGGTTCGCGCGCATAAGAATCTTACGCCACGCGTTACCGATTTCTTTACTGATTTTGAGGAAAAAACCGACTGTTTTGCAGTTTACCCTACGACTGGAATTTTGTTACCCTCTTGACTCTCACTCGGCATGACTTGCAAACCATATGCTTGTGTTAGTTTAGAGCACTTCCAAAGTATTTATAATTCCTCATGAATCGGGTAAGATGTTTGCCAAAAACTACTTCATAAACGAGTTCAGTACTTATTACAGACCTGTAAGCACAGCATAACTGACGGACAAGGGGTCATATCTGGTCCCGTATAATTCCTTGACACAGACTCTGAATCCAGAGGTATTCATGTTCTGAAAAAATAAACACTTAACGTAGCTGGTACATTTTATGCAGTTGTAACCATAAACAACTGGGTTAACGTGGAGTGAATGTTAGAATAGTCTCTGAAATTAAACCTTTCTCCTACAGTCTTTTTATGTGACATAAAAATGCAAACATATTCGCCGTAACTGAAAACCGTGGTTTGATGAAAGCTTGCAAAGACCGCTAGAAAATTAAAAGATTGGAAGGTTTAGAAATAACAAAGTTTTAAAAGCTAAAAGAATTAAAAGGTTCAAATGTTATCCAAAATATCCTTTTTTCCCCTAATAATGGGTATGATGGTGGCGCAGGAGCTATAAGGCCCAAACAGTCTGGCTAAACCTTGATCCCCGTTGATGAAGACAGCAAATGACTTGTTCCAAGAAAAAACTACGGTAACGTTTAAACCCGAACCGTCAGATTTAAAGTTTGAGACCACCGCGGCGCCTGAGTATTTAAAGATATTATTCAAACTTTAATGAATAATACCTACATAATTACATTCGCGATCGAAAACATGAAGTTAGCCAATAAGCAATCTCAAATTTTCTTGGTCCATTTTGAGCCACATCTATTATCGACCTATACATCGCCTCAAGCGTGACTCTGTTCAGTTTTATCTTTCGTCGAGCTTCGGTTTAAATTTTTTTTTGCCAGGACACATCCCTACACATTTGCCCCATGACGGAAACTTTTACCTCGATCCAAGTTGTAATTCCGTTGTGGTTCGGTGCTGAATTCCCAGATACTGTCGTGCTGTGATTGGCTGAGACAAGCACTGTCGGAGTCGAGTTATAAGCTCTCGTGAATGTGACGAACTGCCATGGAAGAGAAACATACAACGTTTAACACTGTTTCCTTTAACTTTAGTTACCTTAGGTTGTGTTTATTTTTGAAGTCTTGGACAAACAATATTTGCAATTAATCATTTTAACAGAACGAACTGCCCTTTTAATATTTTGATTAACGTTTTTCAAACATTATTTTGTGAACCAGCTTCTTAGCTTTTCTGGTTACTTTGATCTCTACCACGTACAGTTTATATGACTATAGGTGTTTTCAAGATATAAACAGTGATGTAAGTAAGCTAAATATTTGTGACGGAAAATCCTGTGAATAGCACGCTTATCCTTATAATTTTGCAAAGAATTCTTTTCTCACCTCACAATAAGCATTGTTCATTTTATCCGAAGGTGGGTTCGTATTTGGAAAACTTATGACGCCATGTTCAGTGAAAAGAGGCTTGTGCAGTTTGGAGAAGGCAAACCAGTTCTGTGAAAAGAGGAAAAAGCAAAAATGATGCCACCCATACTTGTAACAGTATTGTAACATACCCACAGAAAATTTATTTGAAATCAACTGCATTTTCAAGGCCCTTTCAGTGAACCTAAGCATTTTGAACTCTATAAATTTGTGAACTAATAAATAGCGCAAAAAGTCAAGGAAAGGTTGCAAATCCACAATTTTTTACGACATCGGGGGAATCGCGTAAAAACGTCAGGAAGGGAAGCATGGGGACAAGGCAGACCAATTTGCGTGCTATTTAAAATTCACTTCTTGTAATGATATTCAGTTTTTTTTCTTCTTTTTCTTCTTTTCGTTATTATTGTATTTCTGTTTCTTTTTAAGTTTTTCTTTCTGCAGTTCCCTTCTTTCGACTGAACCATCACTCGCCCGGACGATCTTTAAAGTTATCAATGCCATTTCATCTTACCCGCCCTGTTATGGTTAACAGACCAACAATCCTCACAAATTTTGCAGACAGTCGCGTTCCAGTTTCTAAGAAAATCACTAAGAACGTACCACAGTGATATCTTGGTGTCTACCGTCAAAGTTTTGCATTTCACGAAGACAGACTTTAACTGAGTCCTTAGTTACGTCCTCAATCCAAATGAGAGCAGCATCATACTCTTTACCAGTCCTCAGGTGCTCTGACGTCACAAGGACTATTGGCGCCTCATCAAACTTGCCCTGACGAAAAAGCCAAAAAAATACGCAAAAACAACTGAAATCTAGTTAAGATGAATATTGCTGCAAAAATTACACGCAACTAATCACTGAGTAAGTTCCCCTTCTTATTTATTACCTAACCTTGTCTTGTTATTTATTGTAGCAATCGTCATTTTTCTTCTTAGTTACCTCGTAATGATCCGTTATTTTTTAATTTAAAGATAGCGTGGATTAAAGCTGTCGGGTGAATGAAAGTCTAACATTTGCCATGGGGACTTGCATCAATTAATCTCTCACCGTAGGAAAAGTCACATCTGCGCAGTTGGTACCAGACCACCATTTCTGCAACTCAACCGTTCCCGTCAATCCTTCGGGTGGGGCTCCTTGATAAGCCACCCAATCAATGGTGGCAAATGGATTCGCAAGTTCTTCTTTCCTCCCGGTTTGCATGACACAGACGGTGAAGTTTTTTGTGTTGATACTTTCTGTCCATGAAGTAACAGCATCGTGGACTGTCACAGAGTCATTGAGCTTCATGTGATTGACGGTTATTTGAACATGAACTTGCTTATCCGGATAAAACCGGTATGGAGGAAATGTGACTGTCTGACAGTTTGAATCTGACCATTTTGGAACCTGTAGCAGATCTATACGGCCCCGTACAATTGGAAAACCTGTTTTATAATAAATTAAGTACTTTATAAGGAAGCATTACTGTACTCTTTAAGCATTATCGCTAAGGTCGTAGCTTCATTAGCTTACGTTGTCCTGTAACTCTAAGTGGTGAAGGGTGGTAATAAAAAAAGCGTGGAAATTGAACTAGAACTAGTAGGCTATAACTTGTAATGTCGGCTACCCTCAACAATGAAATGTTTAGTGGCTGCTTATTATTGCATGCTGGTTGCTGGTTTCAGTGCCCAAGATAAACATATGCCAGTATAAAGATAAACATGTGCAATACTGGAGGAGGCCAACAAAAAAATTAGAACTCAAAAGCGTACCTGATGACATGTACGCGTGGGAGCGTGCGCCACTGCGCGAAATATTTGATTTTCAGCAAATTTACTCAGTGCTAATAAGGTGCAAAAAAAAAGTGCAAAAGAGGATGAAATCAAGGGCAAAGATAATAAATACTGCATTTGCCCTCAAATATGCAAATCGATGTAGACTGGTATGTAAATGTGATATTTACCACCTTTTCTTTGACTTCGTTTCCTCCTCTTTTGCACTTTTTTGAACCATATTTGCCCCGAGCAAATTTGTATAAATCTAATTTTACGCGATAAAAACTAGATTGCAAGGCAAAAGAGAATAAAAGATCTTACACAGATAAAACATCGGCTATAGTCTGGGCTGTTATATGTTTGTTTGCCAAAGTAGAGAGACGAAGTAGCTTGTTACAGCTGTCTATTGTTGCTTAGCCTGCGTGAGGAGTTAAAAGTGAGCTTAAAAGTAACGGAAAGTTATAAACATCCCATAGCTAGAAGCCAAATTGAATGCAACTTTGAGCCAACAACTATAATTCTAAGCAATCGAGAGCTTTAAAACTGCCAGACTATTTTATGTGGCATATACAGCCAAAAAAATCTTTGAAATTAGTTTTCGTTACCTTCACAGCTTCCTGGGTGATAGACCATATTATTTTCAAGTCCTCTGCAATAACTTAACTTATGCCAGCATCGGTTGTCGTAAGTTGTTCCATTCGCAGTGCACACTGGGTCTTTATATGAAGGACATTGGTCATCGCACTCACACCGAGCGTCATGCGCACTGTAGGTTCTGCAGACTCCAAATCGAGGGCAATTAAGGCAAGGATTAAGATCTGCACCAAGAATAAAAAAAACATAAAAATATTGAGTGGTTATCTATTCGGAAAAAACATAAATTTCTAATATATTTTTCATATTTGAATTAAACCTAAATAGCAGTGACATGTTTACATACCGGCAACTCAACCAATTATTTTTATCGTTAGTAGACCTTATTAACGATACCCGCCATCTTTGCACGCGCTTAAGGCTGATGATATAAATTAAAGCAGTGTTACGTGGTTTCTCAGGGGACAAACAAGAGATAAAATCTGCAAATACAAATCACACAATAGAAAAGAAGTTTCAACAATAAAAACGAAAATCGCAAAATATGGGTGGAAGTGATTTTGAATGCAGTACGCGACAGTAGAAGTCTTCACAGCAAGGAATTATGACGTAAAACTTGTCGAACTTTACATTTTGCATTTTGCATGACTAGAATCGTCGTCTTATTTTGAGGGAATAAACAAACTCGACCGCGATTACTCGATTACTCGTCTTGGCAATTTTGATACTTCTCTGCCCTCTAATTGCTCTTATTCCATCAATCCTTAAGTGCGTGCAAAGGTAGAGTGTAACATGAATAAGGTATATCATTGTTTGTACTCCAGCGTTTCGTTAATTGTATCATCATGAAAAGTTTTCCTACAAATAAAAACTTCTAAAAGATATCAATAAAAATAAAAACAATAATAATAATAATAATAATAACAATAATTCTAGAAATAGTTATCATTACAATAAGAAAATTAATTAACAACCTCCAGTAACAGCGTAGCTGACAATCAAGGGATCATGACTCGATCCTAATCCACTGAGGTCTTTAACGCATATCCTCATAGATTCTAATCCAACCTACAGCAAATCCATAAGCAAAATCCATAAGCAAAATCCATAATTTCTTCTTAATTTCTACGACGACAATACAAGTCATGAAATTTACGGATCAGATCCAAATTATCTGTTTCTTATGGCTCTTTCACGGTCCTTTTATCAATTTACTAGAATATACGGATTACTTCTCTTCCCTTATTGAACAAGAATAATCATCCAGTAAGGAAAACCCCATTTCGCGGCGCGTCTGTGGAACGAGTGAAGAAATCCCATAATGATGACTTTGCACTTCCCAGATCAAGATACTGCTCCTTATTGGTCGTGCCGCAATGGAAGTTTTCTAATCAACCAATCAGAAGCACTGCATGCCCAGTTGACACATCATCAGTATACAATATTTGCTATCGTCGTTCATCAGACGTCATTTTGTGGAAAAACTAGTGGTGGCGTAGCGTGAAATGCCGGCTTCTTTCTCAGGTTAGAATAAAAATTCAAACCTACCTCAACCCAGGACGATATTATATTATTTTCTGGAAGACGGCTTCCCTTGACCTGAATATTATACTCATGATTTACGGAAAGAATCACAATTGGCGATTTGTAAAAGGTCGTATTGAAAGGTACTTCCTGTAAATAGGTAAAAAAGTAATGTAGGTTAGTAAATGGATGTGAACGTGCTCACTTCTCCCTCTATTTTTGCCCATCATCTGTAAAGTCCCCACCTCAACTATTCGCCCACTCAACAGCGCGAAATTGAAGTGATTCGAAATATAAAATTCTTGCAAAGTCGCGAAGTTTAAAAATCCCAAAATATGCGCACATTCAAGTCGCGAGATAAGCATGTCGCGTTCATCTGGGAATTGCCATTTTGGATACATTGTCGATCACCATGGCCTGGTAAATTTGGGTTTACTATATTAAGTTTTCTCTTGTGTGACCTCAACCACTGAAAATGTTCTGTGGCTTGCTAAATGTTCTTGTTAGAACTAAAGTTTTCACCTGACAGAAGCCGTAGTTGTTTTTGGCCGATGGATTTCCACTGTTTGGAAAGATTTCTTCTCCAGTTATTGTGAAATTAAGTTGACTCCCATTTCCAGTGAATGCGAACCAGTCCTGTGGACAAGAAAATAATGTTTAATTTACAAGACGAGTTGCGTCAGCCATCGAACGACACTTCCTTTAACAAGAAATGACTGCATGAGACACGTGAGACAGGACACTGACCTTAATTGTGTTACGAACGTTCTAGGTAATTGGTTGTACGGGCTGCCGAAGTGTGGCAAAGTCAAGTTATTTATTTATTTATATTTCATCAATATTAAAGTTTACTCGAGCATTTTTCTTCACTTACCAGAACTGCATCTTGGTGCTTTCCATCAAAGAGCAAGAATTCCCTTAAGCACACTTCAAATCCTCCAGAATTGACGTTTTCTAACCATAAGTACATAGCATCATTTGGCTTAGTACTGCGAGTGTACTTAACAGAGACAAATACACGAGGCTTGGAAGCAAAGCTCTGCAAAAAAATGTTAGCTATATGAAAAACTATTGACTGAAAAATAAACAAGCTTCTCGAGATATAAATCAACATAATCGTATCAATGAAGTGCTCAGTGGCACTTAAATGAAATTAAGGATTTATCAAAGGCTTATGGGAGCAGATTAATTAAATCTTTGTTTTAGAACTATAATTTCTGATACTATTTCATTTGTTTCTACTATTTAATTACGTTTTACATCCTGATAACAAAATTATACTCTTGTTATCAATTATTGTTATCTAACCTGAGAAAAAGCCACCTTCTCACACTTGGTTTCTGTTGTCCATATTCCACTAAAAGTAACGCTTCCATGCGTTAACATGGGTTTGTCCTGAAACGCTACCCAGTTGATAATTCCAGTGTTATTTGTAGAACCTGTTGCACGCGAGCATAACTGAAATCCAGCTGTACTTATGGACTCTGCCCACACAGCAGAAGGCGCATGAACAACTGACGACTGATCTTCGTGGCTTAATGACACAAAGACTCGAACCTGAAAAGATAAGCATGAATGAAAATTTGCAGGCGACAATTCAACCGTACATCACGAACAGTCTCTCTTTTTTCTTCTACCTTGATCAGTCCGGAATATCCCTAAATTTAAGGACAGTTGTGACGTCATGGAGCTCTTTTTCACGAAGAAAATGGCGGATAGATTACCTAAACCATCACAGTCACCGTTTCGAGACTCTCTGGCATATTTGTAAGACTTTTCATGAGGCATACACAATTTGTTTTAAGTGGACAACGTATCGAAAGCCATATTGGAAGTGTCTCGTGAAATATTCAGCACATTTTGTGGCTTATTTCTTCTTTTAAACAACACGATGTAGGCGAGATTTTGGTCGGTTTTCAAGGTTGGTGAACAAGTATCTGGTTTTTTTGATTTACAGATTTTTCTACGCCGTTCTTGATATTTTTCCTTAATTGTCATATCCATTAACGTCTATCAAGTTGAACGTGGGGATAGTAGACAACCTAGAAGAGGGTCAGGATGGGGTTAACTGACAACTGACAACTCACAAATAGCCGAAAATTTAACTGACTTCTGACATTTGCCTGTCAACTGACAAAGGACCTGACAGTCCTTTATTTTCTACAAAACTTGTTCTTAAGGCCTTGAATAGCATTGTTCCACTCTTTTTATCGTATGATGTGATCAAATGTGCGTTTTTACGGGTAATCTTAGCAGCAAGACGCTTAAAATCTCATGTGTGTCACGTACCATCTGCAAATGACGTATGATTTCAAATTTACGTTTCTCTGAGAACGCGCCAGCATACGATGGCTACGGAACGGCGCCTGTAGATACGTGTCGCCCGCAAAATCGCGGGTCCCATGACTATTTGCGCGCTCACAAAGGGAGCCGACGCATGTCGCGTCCTTTGATTCAAGACTCAAGTGTTAGGGTATTGTTTCCACGATACAAAGGTAATTTAACTTAAGAAAATCTATAAATCGAAGCTTTCGCGCTACTCTCTGTTTTATAAGGAAATGAAAACGCTCAACTTGATAAATATTTTGACTTCATAAAATATTTTAACAATTTGGGCCAGCAGAATGTATAGAATTCCAGGAAAACAATTCAGGAAGCCGAACGGTTTTGAACTTCGCTAGAAGTTATTTTTATCAGTATGCAAATCACCTACCCAATCACTTACTTTCCATCGAATTGAAATATCCTGACTTTTTTTTGCCACTTTTCGATTTGACTCATTTCATTTTATATTATTTTGTGCAAGCTGAGTTGTTCATGCGAATTTACGCTTTCAAAAGGAAAAAGAAACTTCGAGGAAACGTTGTGTTTACAACCACGGCAATTTGTATCTATTTCGCTTCACTTACGCTTATATGCAAATTACCGTTCATCCGCCGGATTTCGCTGTAGACAAAAATATCGATTTTGAATTCCCAAATGCTTGCCTTTTGGGGCACCCCTTTTATTTTGGCTATCAAGATTTTAAAAGCTAAGCTTCAGACTTTTCATTCCAACGTTTTAATGCGGAAAAGCTAGGAGAAATGCTCCAACTGATTTAAGTCACGCAACACTCTTTAAGACCGCATAACTTGATCTTTCTGTTATCTTTTGTTCTTCTATTGTCTCCAAAACAATAACGATATTTTACCAATTTCCACCTACAAATAATAGGACACATTTGATTGACAGAAAAATTTGCATTTACTAGCGACGCGTATCTACAGGCGCGATTCCGTGGGCGATGATGGCGTTACAAAGGCAATTAATTGCAGGGTTTTACTGACATGATTCAGAGACGGTTTTCTTGGTCTTCTTACGATCTACGTCCCAATATTATACCTGCCAGCTTTTTCTGAGTCAAATGCGTCAGATTTTTACCTTGTCATAACCAAGATTTCACGAAACGTCCCGGCGACTTCCAAAGATTTCCGACGAATTACCGAAGACTTCCGAACGTTGCCGAAAGTTAAAAGTCCGCAGATGTTCCAGAAGACCTGACGTTTGAGCACTTTCGAAGCTACTTAAAAGACGACACTTTTAGCGTGCTTTGGTATGATTTCGTTAGAACACAAAAAAGGACACAAAGTCATCATGTGTTAAGAACAATTTGTCCGGATTTGAGAGTCAGATGTGAGAAATTGTCCTTGATGCGTGAGATCGATGTCTTTAGTCCACAGACGCAAGACTCAAGCATAATGCGTATAAAATATTCTGAAGGTATAATTTTGATTGGCTTAACGGTTGACAATGTTGCACTCTGGCCAGCAAAAATGTTTGAGTGGAGAAAAGTAACACAAGACTTGAGAAAAGGGGGGTCACTTGAAATGCTTACAATAACAAAGCTGATAAAAACCAAGGTAGTATGGCATCAGTTTTCGAATTTAATGTTTAATTTACATTATATGTGCCTGTTAAGCCAAATTGCGCATCACAAATATACAAATAAGTTTCATAGTTAATTATTGATAGCTATTTAACTGACAACTGACAAATAGCCTAAATTTTAACTGACAACTGACATTTGTGCCCCCCTATCCAGACCCTCCTAGAATTTTGGTAGACGATTTTTGAATTCCGACGGTCCAAAACTCGAACGTGTTCCACTCCCAGGTTTCACGCAGACATGGCAGAGCCGTGTTATTACTTTTTTTCGAATTAATTCGAGCCTTTGTCTTTTTTCTTTTCAAGGCCAAAACAACTTTATTAGTCTTATGGATATTCTCGTCCAACATGCATCTCGCCTCACTTTGCCGAATTTGCGGGAATAAAATTAAAGATCATAAGCGCAAGGTAGTTATTAACCGCTTTGTTTCTGAAAAATCACCAAATCTGGAAAGATTTATTATTGTTGATTCTCCAAATGTTCATCCACAGTTAAAAAAAAATCAAAGAAAGAAGACAAATTTCAACTGTAAATGATGTAGTTCGCTACTCATTAAACATGCACTGATTATCTGGGATAAAATTAAAACATTGCAGGTACGACAACAAGCAAAGAAAGCACCAGATGCGTCAAGTCAACACGAAAGAACACAAAAAAACAAACAAGGAGAATTAATAAATTTGAACTACTTTTTATTCTTGTTATGATGACTGGTTCTTTGATTCTTGTCCTGTAGAAGTTAATAGGTAGTACCATTCCTGTTTTGTACGACCTCAACGTCCGCTGTTGTGAAAATTTTTGATCACTTGGTCAATGTTTTGATAAACACAAGCACACCTTCTACTTGGTTGAACAGTGTCGCGTGACCATTTGGCCCTGTCCTTAAATTTAGGGATATTCCGGACTGTTGATCTGTCTGTCGTGCGAAACGCGCGAGTAACGCAAATGACCACGCGAGTGACTGAAAGGGCGAGACTACCGCCCTCGTTTCTCGCGTGCGTCTGGTGGTTTCAATGCTCGTGCGCGCGTGCACTCCTCACACTAAATCTGAAAAAAAAGAGGATCTAATTCAACCCTCCATTCCCGGCGCCATTCCAAGGATTAAAGATCTTCTAGCCTATTTTTATTGTCAGAATTCTCTGGCTTTTTTGTTTTGTCTTGTTTTGTTTTGTTTGAAAACACTCGCATCCTAGGGATTAGGGAGCACTTGAGCACACCGATGCGCACTAAATTGTCTGAGGTCATAACATTACAAAGGCCACTATGATTTGTTAAAAACATTAGTTTCTAGAGAAGCTTATTGTTTTCTGCTAACAAAAGAAAGTTGCCACCAACCCTTAAGATTAGACTACTGTATTTCCTCGAAAAATAGCCGTCCCTCGATTAATCGCCTCCCTCAAATAATCGCCCCTAATCCCCACCCTTCTCGCTATCTTTTCTCTTTCTTTACCACCTCCCTGTCGAGTTAAAAAAACAAACAAAGCTGAAGTGGAATCTCATCCAGCAATTCAAGCTCTAACGCCAAGGATATTGAAATTGAAAAATAACCAAGGAACAGGATTGCTCTTGACAAGGAACCATTTTTTGAAAACTTATAAAGCCCATGTTTAGTATATTTTGATGTGATTATTTCTTTATTTTTATTTAACGGGTAACAAAAGAAAATATTTAGGGATCGACTTCCAGTGACCAATATTTGAAATAATCGCCTCCCTCGAATAATCGCTTGAGGCTATTATTTGAAGAAATACGGTAATTTTTAATTGCTTAGGGTTTACTTACTGTTCCAGATCCACTAAACGTCTGCGGAAATATCACGTTAGTGCAGCGTGGCAGTGTACAATGTTGTGGCGCCTCACATCCACTGTTGCAATTCCATCCTTGACGTGTCTCTGATGCGTTCAGTTTTCCAACCTGATAGGAAATGCCTGTAAAATAGAAAAAAATGTCTCCATGTAGTGTAAGTATGGGATGGAACGAGACGGAGTGTTGGTTGAAAAGAAATGAAGAGAGGCTAGGGGTGTGTCTGTGTTTATTTGAAAGGCGAGGAGAGATAAGCAACTTTCGTATGTTTTTAAAATGTGAGGACAGAAAATTAATTCTTCTTCATTTACTGAAGTTCTGTTTGAAAGACCTCACCAAAAGCTGTACTTTTGCAAGGACATTGTGACTTTTCTTTTCATTTAAATAGCGCTGTAAAAACGTAGCTTGGCCTACGGTTCAAGTCCAGAGGTTAATAAGCGACTCTACTTTGGCGTCAAAGGGAAAAGAAATATGCGCTTAAAAAACGTAGCCTAGCATTTTTTCACTTTTCATTTCCAGGCGAGGTGTAAAATCTTTGCCTTGTCGTTATGTGAAGAAAATTTAGGAAGAAGAAGTTTATATATACAGATATTTTTCATTTCAATTACTCAACATCATGGGGGAAGGGGAGGTAACTCTATTGTTTTATTCCTAAGTTTCTTGACCAACTCTGCCTGCCAGTATGACGTCACATAGTAACGGGCAAGAGCCTTGAGTCGCTTGTGCAAATTAGAAAGGGATACGACAGTTATTAGGACGAGCGAGGTCGAGGAAAAGCTAAGAAGCTATCAGATATCGCCATATATCGCTAATTTGATCGAATGTGTGTGAGCTTTGGTGTTGCTATAATCTGCTTGTGTAAACCGTTTTGATATTTTGTGTCCGTAAATAATTGTATAATTTTGTTAATTTGTTTTGCGGGACGTGCTGCGGGATCGCCGTCTTTTTTATGGGACCGGTAAGGACATCAAAACTTAAATCTTTTTTTTCTCTAAAATAGGCAAGGTCTAGTCTCCAGAATAGGAGGTTCTATTCACAGATCACACATATCAGTAACCGGCTCCTGACATATTAATATTTCATCTATTCTTTTGCTAATTAAACGGGCCTCACTCTTTATCAATCCTTTCGAGTGTGGGCCTCTGTTCATCTCCTAATTCTCCACCAAACTCAGTAAAGCTAGTTCGATCGATTATCTACATCGGGTCGGCCGGCGTTGAACCCGAAATAATGCGAAATAGCTTCGAAATACGCGCTTAAGCTAATTTTCCTCAAATTAATGTATATTTGAATTCATGATAAATACAGCTCCACCAGCTTGAAACAGCGTCTATGTTAGACTAAAAAATGGTTTCCAAAACATGTGTGTCACTGTGGTGCAGCGGTCAAGGAGTTGCTTGCACTTGCAGATAAACCGGGTTCGTCTCCCGGCGACGCTGTTTTCTGTTTGTTTGTACCGTTTTTATTTTTTTTTCTGTTTAGTCTTGGTTTTTCCTTTTCGCCTGTTTTTCTTTATTCTTACTACGGACCCTGCTGGTCATGCACTTGGATCAATATATATTTTAAGGTTAAGTCCGGAGTATTATTTTGGAAAAGGAATTTCAAGAGTTCTTGATCTGCATACTGGCCAAGCTTACGGCCAGAAAAAACCACAAGCTGTCAACTTATGTCCCCTCTCCTCTCAAACAGCTGCAATTTTTTCAATGTTAGTTGACATCATGACAAACAACACACAGTACACCAGAAGACTGTACTAGTTTACACCCAACACCCACCAGTGATCCACTGGCGAAATTTAGACCTGCCTTTTGTACATCGTCTTAATTATCAATATATTACCGTAAAATCTCCACTGGGTTTGGCCCCAAAAACTAATTAAACGAAACCTTTTATTGGTTTTCGGGATTTAATTACACAATTACAGGTGTATGCCCAGTACAGTATGAAAATATGTTAAAGCAACAAGATTCAACGCTCAGGGTCTCTCACAAATATCTGTCATGTAGCTTCCTCTTTCAACGCTACAGCTAAGCTAAGCTCTGAACAGCTGAAAATACGCACAATGTAAAGAATAAAAGATCCTTTGATGAACCTCCTATTGCTGTGTCTAAATTCCTCAATCTTGCCGTGCACTGGCCCTCAAAAATATGACCGGTCCGTATGATTGCCCGTAAAATTTGCTCAACGATAGAAAGGGATCTTTAAAATTTCTTACACCAGTGGACGTTTCATTCCAAAAAAGTACTAAAGTCTAGTTTTCTATGACAAGAGGGACCTTAAAATCTCCAAATCCAAGAAATCGGAACAGCATTTCCGTGATAAATTCGAAATTTTTATCTGTCTCTTCGATGAACACTTTGCTCGCCACTTTGAAAGTCACTGACGCGAGATGTGTGACGTCATACTGGCAGGCGGACTGAACCACCGATTTCCTTGGTCACCCCTCCCCCCCGCCCCTTAATGCTCAGCATGCTTTTCTGAAATTGTACTGAACAATTTGGCGAATGGCATTCTCGCCTTGAAGGTAAGTATCTTTATGCAAATTTTGATATCATCTAGTTTTTATATTGTTTTTGCTTTACCTTTATCATCATATTTCAATGTTTCACTCTTGATTTGGACAATATTTGATAAAGATCGCGTCGATCCAAATGGCAAACTCGAAGAATAGCTACTGTAATAACTCTCTTTAGATTTTTTTAAGTCCAATTTTATCTCCCCTAGCTCCTTTTTCGTTCATGTTCAATTACTCCACTTGTTGAGAGCAAATCTAAATATTTAGATTAATCAAATTACCGTTTTGCTACGCGCCCACACGCAATGTGTCGAGTAAGCTCGGTTCCTTGCACCAAAAGGGTAGCCCGCGAATGACAGTTATCTCTGATTGAATTAAAACAGAGCTGCACGGATTAGGAAATATGGACATCGGTAGAAGTGCGGAAATGACTGATTCCAAAATAGGAAAATCAAAGAATAAAAACTCGTTTAAGGTTTTCTGTAAAAGGTGGGTCTTCAAAAGTTTGAAATGGATTAAAACTTTCGCGTTGGATCAGAATGTGGGTGTGGAGTGTAAGGGGCAGGTTTATTTTCAGCGATCTCACCCCACTGTCAAAATCTTATGTTCTAGATCTGAAATCTTCAAACCGTAGGTCTTCTGGGGATATGAAATATCGTATCAAGAATCAATCACCTGTCTGTGCTTAAAATTTTGTTTCGTTTTCCGTCAATCCAATTGGTAGCCCGCTGACGGGAACAGACTGTACTATTTTGGAGAACCGAGTTACAACAAACAAATTAGTCCATCGAAAACTTTGCAATAGAATCATTTTCTCGAGATCGTGAGATTTATAGAAACTGGCACATTAAATGAGATGGAAAAATGCATCCATCAGAGACTTTGACCTTAGTACTCTAGTCGCAAGCTCGAGCACTGAGTTAGTCACTTAAACGAGAGGGAGGGGCTTGTTGTGTTCCCCAAAGTTGTAAATCAGAAGAACTGGGAAAATCAAAAATATTAGCTGTTAGACCTTCTGTCTTTACATGAGGTCTAAATATGTACATGCAGTGTTCCTTAAAAAATAAAGAACAAAATAGAAAGTCTTCGATCGAGATGAATTGCTTTTCAAGAGATGAAATTTTAACAATTTTCAACTATGTTACAAGAAAAAAAGTAATATTTGCCCTTTGTTAGGTATAAGAACGCACAAATGCTGATTGCAACGGCCTACGATGAAAATAAGAGACTGGCATACCTTTTACAGTTAGAGGGAGAATCCCCAGGTTTAGGAGAAAGACAAAAGGTGCAAATTTTCTGAGGTCCATCTGGCTGCTAAACCTAGATGTAATGGCCTGTCGACATCTGGATGGGTTGTTTTATAGCGGTACAAACGTTTCCTCGGCTCATATTTGACAAATCAGCCATGTATACCAAATCCTCTTAACAAGTAAAAACAAGCTGATTGGGTAATGAAAGTGCAATGTGATGCAAATTTTAATTTTTTTTTTACAGTTGATGGTTTGAGCCGAGGAGTCATTTCAAACGTAGGTGGAATGTGATCGTCTGGGTTGTGTGGGAGTTTAAGTCTTGAATAGGGTTGTTGTTGAGACGTTAAACCGACGTTTGGCAGTCGTCTTCAAAAACAATATTTTATTTGGCTTTTCACAGTATGACAACTTTAAGTAGCCGTGCACTTAATCATATGTTATGCTTTAATAGAGCGAATTTCATGTCTTGCATATTAACAAGAAGAACAAAAGGGCTCGCCAACAGCTACTTCTGCCAAGTATTTCATCACTAGATTCAAACTAATGAAAACCGACTGTCTTATGGAGCTCTGGGCACACTCTTAGAATCACGCTGTCCGGCACTTATACTATGCTGTCCGGCTCATATACTATGTAAATTTAAGAGACAAAGGCACGCTTTCAGGAGTTCAACAAAAGAAGTGTCGCTTTGGTCCCAGAGTGCAGTGCGACAGACGGCCCTGTCGGTGGAAATAGTTTATCAAAATATTTTAAGGACAACTCCCTCTAAAGCAGCTTAAAAATATTCCTACAATTAACAGTAATTGTAGATATTTGTAAGAGCAACGTTTATCTAAAGTTTGCTGCCGAAACTCTAGTTGTTTACCATGCATAGGGCCAGTTTAGCCGGTCAAACTTTAGATATGACACCCTTGGCAAAGCGAAGCTAATTTTATCCTTTCTATATGCATGCGGTATTCCACGTAATGAGTCTTAAAAGACTTTATCACCACCCACACATGCACTACGTTTCCTGAAAGGAAGAAAAACAGTGGATCCTGGAAACTGTTATTAGATAAACCCTCAACTCTTTTCTTGGTCATTCAATGCTATCATTGCGAACGCACTCGTTGTTTCGTGGTTTAACTTGTTAAATGATTCAGTGATGATAATTCTTTTAGAAAACTGTCACTTCTTTCCGAAAGCCAAATAAATGTTAAGGGTTTTTGGTGATGATCCGTGGTAAGTGTGCATGGAGTATGTTTAGAAAACTTTCGCTCGCCGCACGCAATGCCTTTCATGGCACATTCAGGAAGTATTTTTTCTGCGGCTTTGAAACAGTCAGCAAAGGGTAAGCTGATAGTCCACAGTAAGAAACGTGATTCTGATTTTCCGACGTTATAGAAGAAGATCTAAAACAGTCATTAAGTAGGAGAAGCTAACATTAGTTCAGGTTTTTTTTTGTGTTCTTAGCTAGAGGGATATGTCATATTTGCGTGCAGTCTGTATCAGGTGTAAGCTAATGTACACAACCGCAACCTTTTCGAAACCACGTGCACTTAAAAGTAGAAAGGCTTACTTAGAATAAACCCCCTGGTCCTACATTCCATGGCATTCTACTTTGAACTTCCGCATATCAAATGAGTGAGCTGCAAGCACTGCAGTCAAACTTAACAAAATAAGTTAACAAAATAAGAGATAACGTCTTCTCAGTCAAAGCTAAAACCGCCTTTGCGAGTATCGGATATTCCGGGATGTTAGTGCTCCCTAAAATCCACTGGTAAGTTTCAAGAGAGGTTAAGCATAACGTTTACGTCAAACGCAAACGCGAATTTGTACCACGTGACTAAGTTTCCCCTTTACTTGTCGTTTACTGTTCATTATATCTACACAAATGTTGGTAGTTTCACGCAATTTTATATCCATTAGATTAATTAGAATTGTTGTGAGCTGTTTTTATCCGCTCACCTTCTGTTTTGACAAATTCTCAACTTGAATTTGGCGTTTGCCGTCCCTCTGTCACTTTAGACTTTTCTCCCACACGAAATTAGAAGAATCTAACCGCACCGACAATTTTTTTTGCGAAATCAGAGGGCACAATAAACAAACCCACACTCAAAATCCAGATTGAAGACAAATGTTCTCGCATTTTTGGGTGCAAGCCAAAGTAAGAAGTACAGAAGTTAATCCTTTTTTAAATCTTTATTCACCGTGCTCAATGGAGCTGTGGCAGCAGTTTTTATTCCGCTTGTTGATATCTTTAACAAATTTTAGAACACATAATAAATCAATGGCTATAATCAAGGCCCTGTGTGTCATTTTTCCCCATTACAAGTTATAACCTGTGTTTCTGTCCTTACAAAATATGAGCTTGTTTGATATGCCTATATCATAATGTCCATCAATTACGTAACATCTCAAATGAACCTCCTATTAAATAATGACAACAATTTTAACTTAGATAGTATAGTATCGTAATCATCATCAGACTTGGTAATCCATCTGGTGGCTCTTCGCTGTACAGCCTCTAATTTATCAATGTTACGTTTAGCATGAGGCTTCCAAGTTTTCCATGAATATTCTAATAAAGGTCTCACAAAACTACGGTAAAGTGTTTTCATAGTATCAATGTCCTTTAAGTCCCTGCAGGTCCTTTGAACCAACCCTAAAACCCCATCAGCCTAAGCAGTTATTAGTTATCAACTTGTTGGTTTCGTGAGAGGTCACCAGCAGTAAACAATCCTAAATCTTCACATTATAACTTTTTGCAAAGGTTGACTTTCGATATTATATTTTTTTCATGTCGTCACATTTGCTTGCAGTCTGTGTGAGGTGCAAGCCAATGTACACAACGGCAACCTTTTAGAAACAACTTAAATATAGAGGGGCTTAATCCCCTACGTGTAGCCTGCGTGGCAGCTTTAAAAGGCGAAGGAGAACGCGGGAATTGGGTGCGTGAGAGCGCAAAGGGGCGCGCGAGGAGGGGGAAAAATGGGAAAAGAGGGGAAAAGGTTCCCGTTTTCAACATCCTCGGGCGCCAGAATTCCTGCTTCCCCTTCCCCTTTTAACACCTGCTACGCAGGCTACCCTCCTTAGTGAAACCATGCATTCCAACTTCCGCATGTCAAGTGAATAAACCTCACACTGTCAGGCTTTAAATTAAAACATATGTGAGAGTTAACATCTCATAGCTAACCTTGCAGACATTGGAAGTCCAGTTTCAGACTTTTCAATCCAACATGTACACGATATTCGGAGAATCTAGCCACACATGTAGTAAAAAAGTAAAACTCAGGAGTAAATCATTTTATTTTCCCGGTTAGACTTAATTTGACAAGATCTTTTCATTCTGCAGCTTTTTTTACCGAGGTACATCTTAATACCGCTTAATCGACGATTAAGCAGTCTTTAGACTGAAGAAATCACGCTCCCAAGAATTAGCAGAGGAGACCTGAAAATTAGAAAACTAACTCAAACAGTTGTTTTTCACATTTAAATGGTCATATTGATCCTTTATTTTAGGTCATGTTTGTTGCATGCAAGTTTTATGCGCGACCAGAGAAAATGTTTGACTGATGACAACACTGCTAAAGCTCTCTTATGCTGTTTTCAGGTCGCCTAAGTGTCTAACAGTGAAAGCAAAGTTAAAGTGAAAGTTAAAGTGAAAGCAAAATGTGAAGTCCCATCACGATAACGATAACCTGTTAGAGCGAAAAACGAGAGTGAAGAGGCGGCCGGCTTACGTTATTTAGGTGGGCTGAATTTATCTTTTCGGGAAACTTTTTTTTGTGAGGGTGGTTGATCAGTATCTCAATACATTTACTTCCTTATAACACGATACGCCGAGACACTCAAAAGGCATTTCCTCGTTATTTGCTAAGTGCTTCCTATTCAGACCTTTAAGGTTAAAATTGCCAGAAATAGTGGACATTTCGCGCCCGTGATTAATTGTCAGCGGAATCTCATTTCCAAAATGGCGGACAAAAACGATCGACTAGCAGCTAAATACAGGAATTGCACCGACCTGTGATTGGAAGATAAAAATAGTATTTCAGTGACGATGACGTGACAATTCGTTACGTTAGCCGTTTCAAGAGTAATGGTTTTTACACGAAAAAGACAGTCCACAGGAAAATACAATATAATATTAAATATTTCTCAAAGACAAACAGTGCAGTATTCTTTTGAAGTCGGCTGACTCGCTAAGAGTGTCTTATCGAAGTTGAAGTTCAACTGTCGCAAATCGGATAACTTCACTGAGTGATTCTGAGATGAAACCTTTTGTCTGCATCCACATTGATCTTAGATTTTACCACTTACATATTGAAGAAAAGCCATAAACAGAGCTTCAATGTCCACGTACACCCGACTGAACCTCGGTGCGATTCCTGCAGATACCGCTGTTCAAACTAAATGCAGGAATTGCACCGGACGCGTTCTCGTCCCCAGAGTTTTTTTTTTTGAAACCGCGACAAGACATCGATCCCTTTTCAATATAGTCTTGCGACAAAGGTCTGTATTAAAAAAATTAATACTGTTGTTGGAGGGCATGCAATGAATCATGCTAAAGTTTCTATTGGGAACACAAAATAGAGGTACCAGGGAATCACAGGGAACAACTGTGTAAGTGACATAACTTTTTATTTAACTTTGTAGCTAGTGTGCCGGTGGGGGGGGATTCTATACAATAGGCACAGGGCGGCTCATTAGAAAATTTAGTGTACCAAAGACTTTCTTTGACCCCTCGAGGAGTCCACTTCAACACTGTTAGCAGTAAAGTATGTGCAGGGCTTTTGTAAATGGATATTTCTATATTTACTGACTTTCCACCCCCAATATAAACATACCAATTAAGTGAAATCAAATTCTGTGTATTTCTATGCCTTTACTGAGATGAGACAACTTGATAAGTTAGAAGACAAGCAATCCCTGTAACTTTTATACAGGAGTTTCTCCTCAAAAAGGCTAGTGTAATTTATTTGGATTGTGTGGTTCCAGAAAATAAACATACCCACCAACCCCAAGGAAAATTCTGAAGGGAGGGGGTTTGAAAACCAAGATTTTTAAAGAAAAGTATGAAATTAACCTGGAATTTCCCGAATGGTGGGGGCATCCCAAGGAAAATACCATCCTTGGAGG